TTAATGTGATATTCATCGATTGTTTTACACAGGTAGTTGAAATAATCTTTATACACTACAGGTTACGACATATATGTAAATGTGTCTACTATAAACTTTTTAAATGGTATCTTAATGTTACGCATCAAATAATTCAACACAATCAATGTAACAGTAATCAATAGTTACATAAATCATTTACTACTAGTTGCTATTCTTATAAGATAGAAGTATTACAAGATACACTTATTAAAGTTTTTACGTTTGTGTTGTACGGATTGTATCTATATCATGTATTCTTGTATAAAATCGCAAAGGACCAATAATATGTTTTAATACTAGTTGTACATTTGTCAATGTAAATTCCAAAACTTACAAACTGTTTAGTGATACTAATAATTTCGAGATACCTATCTTTGTTTTTAAGCATAAACAAAGATATATTATTATATTTTTTATGTAAATGTGATAAAATGTAATGTGTGTAACGTGCACTGTACTATCTAAATTTCATAAAATAAGTATTTTTTTGTTACATGACCTATGTCAAAATATATATTTTGTAAAGCTGTTGAAAACAATAATATTTATTAGATTTATTATTGTAATTAATATTTGCCACATTGAAGTAAAAGTTATATATATATATATATATGTAGTAGGAAAATTATTAACACCAACTTCTTGTCGCTGATGTACTTTACTTTTTACAACTACCAGAGAATATCTGTTGNGTATATTTCATACATTGATCAGTATTTTTAGCACAGAAAATTTTTAGTGACTATGACGCGTTAAGTGTACTTTCACATTTCTTTTCATGTTTAGTTTCGACGTGAGTAATCTAGTGAGATTTTCGAGTATGTAAAGTGCCATAAAATGTTACCCACGCGTTTTGTAAAGACCGATCGGTATACGATTCAAATTGTTATAATTCACGACGTTATGTAACTTGCATATTATACTTGTTATAATTGCCGATCTTATGAAGTCAGTTACTTGTGCATAAACAATTAGTTTAGGTTATTTAAGTACTATTAATTATTATTACAGCTCATGTTTGTGTAAATGTTTTTTTTATTGCTTTTTTTGGAAGGACAAGCTCGGGTATGTAGGTATTTTAAAATATAAACATTTAGATATGGCGAAAATTAGTTTCTTTATAGTATGTGTCATACTATTTCCAGTAGTCGTTCGTGTTCGAGTGAAACCTGACGTTATGTGAGTATTGCAAGGATCAGTATTCATTTTATCGCGAGAAAAGTCACTTTTCCACTTTTTACAGATATAGAAAAAGGTGCTCTGTAAAGCATCAAAAGTGCAAGGCCACATTGTAAATATATGGTCAGAGAAAAAGATGGACAACTTTGTTTGTTAACTCAAATTACGTAATAAATAATAGGGCAAATGAAACATCATTCATGTATAATTTACTACATGTGCGGAACTTATGAGCATTATGAGTACCAATAAGTACCAAAACTAAAAAATTATAAGTACCAAGTGAACCAAAGGACATTATACTTTTTTAAAAAAAGTGAAATAAAAACATTTATGACACAGGTCCATTTATCTTTATCTCTTGAGGTGAGGTGGATCACCGTATAGGAAATAGATAAAGTATTATAAAAGTACAATTTATATTTTTTTAACAATTTTTTTTAACAAAAACATAATAATTGTAGGTACATTCCTTATTGTTTTACAAATACATACTGTTATTTTGATTTCCACTTTCCACTGTTTTTTACCTCATTTCTTNGTTTTACATAACATCTGCAATTGTCCTTTGGCCCACTTGTCTTTTTTCGGCATATTTGCGGTTATATTTTGTAGGCATACTGAAAAAGCCGATAAAACTAAGTGTTCCGACTATCTCCAATTCCTAGTGGTTTATTCCATTTTCTGGAATAAATTGACCACATAGTGTAGGTTTTACAAGAAAGTAGTTGACACGTTTTCCATAGGACACTGTTAAAAATGTTTCAACTTAATAGAATATGTCGAAATATAGTGTCGAGAGAGATAGACTGTTTCACATATACTGGAAAGTAATTATACAAAATAATCACCTGTTATTAAAATGCGATTCACATAAATGCGTCTCTGCTTGTATGTACGCACTTAGAAATAGATACACTCATACACTCATGAAACCACACTGACATCTCACAACCCAGGTAGCAAACTTACGTGATAATGTCGTGATTGTAAAGTGATTTTGATGACTACGACGTTCAGTAACATAAATGGTATGTTATTTTGACGTCATTTACAATACCAAAAGTTGTCGTCGCCGATATGACGTCATTTAGATGTCGCGTTGACCGTCATATGTCAACTTATATATTGAATTTCAATATCATATCAATAAAACGGTTAAATAACGTTCTAANAACAAAAATGAGTAAACTTCACCGGTTACTTCTAATATAATGCTTTATAATAACGTTTGTTGTTTTGCATACTACTATATCTTTAAATACATTGTTTATAGGTAAGTATAGCTCTATTTATTTATAGATAAGTAGCCACGTACAATTTAGTAAAGTGATTACTTTTTATGTATTAAATTTTTTTCCGATTAAAAATATCATAATATATAATAAAGATATATTCAATGATAACTAAAGTTTATTGTAGTATTCTACCTTTTATAATTAGAACAATTTTTATTAAATATTTCTTAGCAGTAACTACTAAATAAAATGTGTACAATAGTTTGAGTATAAGTAAGAAAAATGATTACAAACATGAAATCTTTGGTCATAAAAGCCAAAAATAAGTATATTATAGTACGAAACAAGTAGTCCAGCGGACTGATTGTGAGTGCAGAGACTGCAAATGTGGGGAGATCTCGAGTTTCAACTCTCACCACTACCTTAAGATTTTTACCAGGCCCGATATCTTTATCGAGTTACTTAGNTAATCGACAAACTGAATCTCCAAAAACTAATTTAAGAGAACTTCCGACTTAAGTTTCTTTCAATAAAGCCTTCTATAACTTTGGTTTCTTTTTTTTATATATCACCGNAATATTACTGTGATGCATTTTGGCGGTAAGTTTACTATTATTGTAATGGAGTAATATTACGTGCTATGATANTATTGTTTTTTAAGTGTTGCCTTTTATTTTGTTTTTAAATTTTTAATAAAACATCTTTAACATGTTATTTTGGTGAATCTTTTTGCTTTTATTCGCGTCTATTTGACGTAATATAATAACGTCANTACGATGTGACGTAATCACGTGGTATGTACGTTAAATGCACGTCATTTTTATGTTATAATTGACGTTTTGCATACCAAAAACTGACGTCATTATTACGTGAGCTTGCTAACTGGTCACGGTTACAAGAAATACGCGTGGTCCGTTTCTCGTCGATCTACCCTATATGAAAATTATTCTTTTTTGTTTGTCTTTCTGTCTTCTTCTATTCTTCTTATAAAAATTACTATACCATATCACGCGGCAGTCTTAGTTGTGTTTTCCGGAGGCAAATGGCGATGATTGAGGCGTGAGGTGCCCGTTGTAGAGGAAAGCGCGCCGTGACACCGGAAATGAATTTTCAAACGGAAGGTAGACTAACCATATTTCTATATTGAGAGTTTTGGGTCGGCTTCTTTATGGTGCTTCTTGTCGTTCTTTTCTCACTTCTCTCGCTTTGTTGCTTTTGCTTCATACATGAGAATTCTGTGCCGCGCATCTAAGATAAATGTCGCACTTTGTTATGTTTCTCTGGATTATGCTGCATGCGTTTCCATCCGCGATCAGATTATTGATTATTTTGGGTATGTTGCATTCAACAAGTNAAAATACAGGGATGGAAACTTGTGAGTAGCNATATGTATTCTTTGCTAAAGTCATTCGTAGTTTCGACAAAGTCGATGATAATGCAGGATATGATCGTAGACAATGAAGAATAAATAGTCGAGTGAAAACTATTTTGAAAATGCTCAAAAACATTATTTGACAAATGTAGAATTCTTGGATGGGCAATTAATTTTTTGTATTATTTTATGTATGACTGAAAATATTTTATTTTATATAGTTTTTTATTTTGTATACTTTATTTTATATACACACACACACATTCGTTATATACATTTTATTTTATATACTTTACTACTTTCTTTCTATGAATACTTAAATGTTTTTCTGTGAATAAAAGTTTTAATAAACGCTCAGAACACGTCTTGTCCAGGGTACCTTTACGAAACTAATAAAAATAAAGAAAATATTACAAGATCACAAATAAGCAATAGAAAAGTAATTATAACAAAAAGAAACTGAAAATTACGAATAAAATGAAAATACATATTTACTATTTAAAAAAGAAACCGAAGTATACACAANCAGATTACAAATATTAAAGATTCACGTGATTGGTCTGTGACTGTCACGCAAGATAACAGCGACACATGTCCTCTAGGTGATCAACAAAGACGATTCCGATACCGTATTTTGAAATTTGCCAGGCAGTTGGATTTAGCTCTTCAAAGTGTACGGTTGTGGTGAAATGGAAATATACTAAGTGTGAATGTTTTTTCTCATGAATTTTTCGAACAAGGAGTACACACAAACCAAAAAATCGTGGAGAATACACTCTTGACTTCGAAGTATTCGCATACAGGATTTTTCTTGTTTCGATAGAAAACGTTGTACGAATTTCTAGTTTTGGTAATAATCTGCGTATTGCTCGTCATTATTTACGAGCGTGTTTTCGATTGCAGGTCAGTTACGTGTAGTGATTTGATTTTTCACCTTTCTCTAAAGCAAAACTTAGACTAAAATAAAAAAGAAATAAAAGTGTGTAGTTTTTTTTATTACACACACAAGCGCATATACCTGTTTTATATTTGTATGCTACTTTATTTTAGACAATAGTAGTTTTTCTTGTTTTTATTCCGTAATGATTTAAAGTGACAAGAGTTCTTTTGGAAAAATAAAAAAAAGAATTGATCATAAGACAATATAAAAATCGGAAAAATCGAGAAAAAGCAACGCTTATATATATATCATACTAACGTGAAAAATAGCAACAAAAATTGACTCTGCAGAAAGACAACGAGACTGCGACAAAAAACAGTACAAGATAATAATGAGAAAGGAAACGAGTATTACATGAGTGATTTACTATGATGTAAAAAGGTAACAAAATTTCTAAGATGCTTTCACTAGCATTTTTATGTGCATATTACATAAGTGCATTTGTACCGAAAAGTGTGTAGATCGAATTTTTTTATTATAGTAGGTTTAAAAAGTTTGTTTTTTTACATTAATAGAAACTTGCAAGTTTTGCACTTAGTTTTAACGTTTGACAATGAAATGACGTTAGTGATTTAAATAAGTACACGAGTTATATTCATCATCTTTTCTATGTCACAGCTGCAGTATTTCTGCGATGTAACACTTGCGGAAGTATTTATCTAACCATACTTTTTGGGTAAAAA